AATTGTTTCGCTTATTCACTGAGTTGTCTCAATAAAATTATGATTCCTACTTTGTTCATCATTGGGTCGGGCTAAAATTTTGATAACAGGTTTGTGACTATAGTTCTTTGTTTTGACTGTTGAGATCATTTATTGGAAGTTTGTGGTTGGAGGAATCAGTCTCGCACTGTGGTTGAATATTAGGCTTATCTTTCTTTGTGTTTTCAAATTTGTGAGTATTATTGCTTTAATTTATTTGATACTTGTGGGTACTTATTTTTGTATTTGATTTGACTCTCTTGTACTCATATTTTGATCTTATTGGAGCTTGATTGATTGGCTTGTGTCCGTGGATTTTTTTACTTCTCATACTGAATGAGTGTTCCCTCGTTACAAATATTTGTGCTCTCATTTGTGATTATTCTTACCATGTTTTATTGTTGTTACTACTCAAATTCTTGCAAGTTAAGAGAAATTATTTTCGTTACATACTTTGGTATTTTTGGTTGTTATGTTGTTTTTTCTTATTAAGATGGTGTTAGAGCTCTTGATTTTAGGCTATATTTACTTGCTTGAATGATGGAGGTAAATACAAATATGATTACTTTAAATGGTACAAATTATCATTTGTGAAAAGACAATCTTGTGAAGAAATTTCATCTTCTAATCTTTGCTACACAAAAATCATATTTATGTATGATGAAAAATAAGACTTTAAGCATCAATAGGTATGTAATTTTATTCGGCAATATGTAAAAGACAATATTTATAATCAGATTATTAATGAGATACATGTTAGAAATTTGTGGGAAAAGATTGAGTCTTTATATGCTCCTAAGCCAAACAATAATAAAATATATTTGTTGAATTACTTGATGAATTTGAGGCATAGGGAGAATTCTTCTATTTCAGATCATGTAAATGAGTTTCAAGGGCTCCTAGATCAATTGTAAAGAATTAATATCAACTTTGATGATACAATTTTGGGACTATGGCTACTGAATACCCTACAAGAGTCCTAGAAGATATTTAGGGTTTTAATTACAAATTTTGTCCTTAATAACATTGTTTCTTTCCAAATGATAAAGAGTGATGCTCTTAATAAAGAGATGAGAAAGAAGATACATGATTCTTTCCAAGATAAAATTCAAGAATGTGACATGTCATTATTGTAATAAACCTGGACATATCTAAATATACAAGACAAGTGGAAAGAGAATGATAATGAAAATTGTGTTACTACTACTACTACTGCAAGTGAGGATATTGTATGTCCAAAGATACATTAGTTACATTACTTATACCGCTATTTAACAATGAGGAGTTATCAATAATGAGACAAAAACTAATCATATAAGAGAATATTACACAATTTTCAACCAAAAACTCTAAGATATTATATTATAAATCTTTTTCACTTATAAGTTATTCAATTTTCTTATTTCTCTCCAATGTGAGATTTCATACTCACACTTGAATTCTTAATATTATATTATTTATTTTCTATCTAATTTGAATATTAAAGTATTTTTGCGTACACTTTCTCTTTTGTTGTTGAAGGAACTCACGTCTTCAAATAAGATCTACGCAAAACAATACAAAGAGTAAAATGCAGTGTTAATATAATTGTAGATTATACATACCGATTAAGAATTTTATTCCAACTAAACTATTGAGTTGATATATATGATAAATTTTATAAATATTATGAGAAAAAGTCATGATAATTAAAATGTTAATTCAAAATAATATAAATAGATCATAAGATTATTGGATATTAAAAATTAATTGAATTATCTATAAAGATCCACTACATAAAAAGCAATACTAAAAATTATATAAATAACAAAATTTTAAAACATGTACTTAATATTTAAAACAAACGCGTGATATATATATATATATATATATATATATATATATATATATATATATATATATATATATTAATTCTAAATGTTAGGAACTATCATTAAGTTAACTCAAATTGTTTTTAAAAGACAAATTCTTCAATGGTAATAATCTTTATTAATCTTTTACTTTTTCAACATATTATTTTCACTTTTTTTTTGAAATAAATTTTAATATTAAAAAAACTATAATCAATTAAAATAATATATTATAATATATTTTATCTATCATAAATTTAAAATTTACATATTAAAAATATTTATTGTTATAAGTTTGATTATACAATGTATATCCAAAAACTTTTATTTATATTATACAAAAAAATATTTATCCTATACAAGCTAAAATTCTAGTTACGAGCTATAAATGAATGTTAACTCAACTTGTTTCTTCCTTTGATAATCATGTAAAAAGAGGGAAAAAAAATTTGTTGGACTCGAGGTTGAATTTTTCAAAGGAATTAGAATAATGAAGTCACAGGAGAAAGAAATGAACCTTAAATATTAAGCAAAAGCATACCATGTAAAATTTATCAGTCAACATTATTTAATTAATAACGTTTAAGAACTTTTGACCACAAGGTTTCTTTAAAAAAAAAAAAACTTAGAGCAAAAGGTAGTGTATATTTTTCTAGAGGATTATTTTTATTTATGGGAGAACATTTTTTTATTCTCGTCACAATTTAAAGACGGTAATATTTGAATAAATAAAATTAATATGATCGTATATTTAATATTTTTATATATTTAGGTTAACGGATTTTAATAAAAAAATTAAAGATTAAAATTAAAAAAAAATTCTTTTCTTCACATTAGTTTTAAATAATAATTATTTTAATTTAATTTTATCTTATTTTCATAATTATATATATTTTCTATTATATTTTATATTTATAATGTTTTATTATAGGTAATAATAATAATAATAAGAATTGTTATTATTAAATTATTATTAACAAATTTATTATATTACTATGTAATAACAATATTTTATTAAATTAAATAAAATTGGAGTTGCGTTGAACTTAACCTTTAGAATTTAAACTTATATCTTTATCTATTAAATGACTTATTTGATTTTAAAAATATTAAAGAATTATTGTTTAATTTATTAATAAATTACTTTTCAGTTATGGAATTATTAAGGCATTAAAACATGCACAATACTTAAGGCATTAAAACCATTCTAAAAGCTTCAAGAATTATAATTTATGAATGTCCACTTTTGATTCAAGAGAAAATAGTTGTCTCAATGTAGCACAGATTGAGAATTAAATTTGAACCAATTGAGCCACTGTCCCAAACGTAGTTTTCACTTATACAAGAATATAAAAGAAAAAAAAATAGTGAAAATGTATATCAAAATTAAACCTTATCATATTATACATAATTCAATTTTCCGTATATAAGACCACATTAAGATAAAGAAAATTAAGAAAATGTTTTGTTTTACGTTGTCTTTTATTTACTTCTGAAGAAATACATAGAAAAATAATTATTTTCATATTTATTAAAAGCTTGAGAATATATTTTAAGAATGTGTAATCTTCTTAAGTTAATTCTATTTTTATTATAGAAAATTGAGTAATATATATATATATATATATATATATATATATATAAATTGAAAATGGGAAATAAATAATTTAATCTAACTTCATAAAATAAAGATTTTATTTATTAATATATTATTATGTTATAATATTTTTAATTTAAGAATTTTTTTCATTATAATCTTTAAAATTAGTTTTATATTATTTTATAAATAATAAAATATCTAACTTAATTTTATAAAATTAATTAAATATAATGATGATCGTACTCATTTATATATTATTATTATTATTATATTTTTATTTTATATATTAAAAAATATATATATATATATATATGTATATATTTAATTTATTTTAAGAATTAAAGTTTTTTTATATATGTAGTGATTAAAATAGATTATTTTGCGTTATTAAATTACAAAATAATGAGATAAAGATTAAAAACTGTAACTTTTATTTGTTTGTTTTTGAAGTAAGCAAGTAATATATATACAAATATTCAAGATTAGTAGGACTAGAGTTATATATTACCGAAGTCAGACATGCGAAGAAGTTTCTTACTTTCTTTCTTCTCTATGATTGCTGTAGGCAACATTCAGGCAGCAAAGTCTGAAAAATGACCCTTGAAAACTTGAGAGGCTTTGTCTTATGCATCTGCCATTCACACCTTCAGGTAAAACCCGCGTTGGACCATACCATTACAACTAATTTCACTTTCTCAACAATCTATTACAAAATTTCTCCTCTATCTTCATTCAATTTTTATCAAATACATGGAAACACAATTCCCTTCTTCTTAAAGTGAATTATAAAAACTCTTCCAATCTTTCTATTTGCTCTCTCTTTTAAACACTATCCTTTCTCTTTTACAAGGAATCACTAAACGTGATTCTTCTTAATTAAGAAATGTGAATTTTCATGAAAATATACATCAGAAATGTTTGATCATCAAAAGAGGAATTATAATAATTATGTTATTATTACTATTCTTATATGGTTGAGTGAACTTGCACCAAACAACTATTCTGAGCCACAGTCAAATTTAACAAAGCAGTCAAATTTGCCTTCGGCTTTGTTGTGTTGCTTGGATTGGAGATAAAGCATAAAAAATGTCTCACATCAAAGCGTTATACGATGGGGCCCTTCCGGAGGAAAATAGTTTACCAAACAATTGCAACACTTTGACAAACCAGCGCAATGACGCGGGTTTTCACTTCGTTATCTTTGAATTCATAAAAACCGAATCTCTCACACCAATAAACACTACTTTTCTAATCCCTTGTAATCAAAATTCATAAATGAGTTTTTGAATTACTTTCCATAATACCCTTCTGAAAACTCAATAATGGCCAATTTCCCATGCAAGGACGAGACGACTTGTCCATATTCTACGTGTTAGGTTGGGCTACCTGCCGAGACAAATTGCCTTGAGACATCTTCAATCCAGAACTCTGCCCAGGGACCATTATAAATACACAGCTTCCATTAACCAATAAACCACACCCTCACACATACAAACACTTTAAGTGACTTACTTAGTTTGTTTCAGCAAAATATGGCTTCGTTTTCTTCTAGATTAACTGTTACTTTGGTTCTGTTTTTCCTCGTCTTGGGATGTGCCAATGCACAGCTTTCTACGGACTTCTATTACAGTTCTTGTCCACAACTCTTCTCCACTGTGAGATCCACAGTGGAATCTGCCATATCAAAGGAGGCCCGCATGGGAGCTTCTCTCCTCCGCTTGTTCTTCCATGATTGCTTTGTCAATGTAATTTACATGCACCTCTTTAAATTAATATGTTCATAAGCATAGTTAGCTAGCTTCTGCATGCATCAAGTAACTTTGTTTGAAACAAGACATGTTCCTCACTCTTTTCACATCATAATGCACTAAGAATGTTAGTTTAGAAATGTTTGATACACTTTATGCAAGCATTTCATTTACTTTAAGTGTTAAATGATTTTATAAAAGATAATGTTTTTGCCTTAGTTTCTATCTTAGTGTGTCTCATGACATGCGTATTAAAGAGTAAACATGAACAAATACAGGGATGTGATGGCTCAATTCTATTGGATGACACAGCAAGCTTCACCGGGGAGAAGAACGCAAACCCCAACAGGAACTCTGCTCGTGGATTCGAAGTCATTGACAGCGTCAAATCAGCCGTGGAGAAAGTGTGTCCAGGAGTTGTCTCCTGTGCAGATATCCTTACCATTGTTGCCAGAGACTCGGTTCAAATCGTAAGTGGTCAAAGAACCAGCAAAAGCAAATTAAACTAAATCACTAATTACACATTTCTGAATTAATATTTTGTTGATTTTGATCACATTAGCTTGGAGGCCCCACTTGGCATGTTAAACTTGGAAGAAGAGATTCTAGGACAGCTAGCTTATCTGCTGCTAACAATGGCATTCCTCCACCCACTTCAAACCTTAACCAACTTATCTCAAGATTCAATGCTCTAGGACTTTCCACCAAGGACTTGGTCGCCTTGTCCGGTACAAACATAAACCATTACTCGCTAATTAATTACATTTCAATCATATGATAAAATTTCTTATTTTAACTATGAGTCACATCTTGGTTAGGTGGTCACACAATTGGACAAGCAAGGTGCACAAATTTCAGAAACCGCATCTACAACGAGAGCAACATAGATACCTCATTTGCCAGGACCAGGCAATCTAGCTGCCCCAGAACATCAGGGTCAGGGGACAACAATCTGGCACCCCTTGATCTTCAGACTCCAACAGCATTTGACAACAACTACTTCAAGAACCTGGTTCAGAAGAAGGGTCTTCTCCACTCTGACCAGCAACTATTCAATGGTGGCTCCACTGACTCCATAGTGCATGGCTACTTGACGAACCCAAGCTCCTTTTCCTCTGATTTCGTCTCCGCCATAATCAAGATGGGAGACATTAGTCCCCTCACTGGCTCCCAAGGAGAAATCAGAAAGAATTGCAGAAGGATTAACTAAGTTTAAATATTAGTGGTACCACACATACGCAACCAATTTGTTTGTGTTTGAGATATGTGTGTAATAAGTTGCTAAAACATTATATTTTGGATTCTGTGTGTACTTTAGTGCGTTCTACTTCCCTTTATTTTTGCTTCATTTTACTTTTCCTTACTAAGTTGTAGGAGAAAAAAACCTTTATCAAAGCTCAAGAACAGAGATTGATTTAATATACAAGTTTGCTTTTGATTTTCCCTTCATAACTCTCCATCCTAATGCAGCTTTCTTATTACTTGTAAACTACGTCTATGTACCTTTTCAATATGAATTTCTTTTAAAAAATTCTGTATTCGGAACTTTTACAGTTTTTTTTATGCCAAAATGCTAATAATTTGTTTTAATTTAGCGCGTCATGAATTTTCAATTCAGCAATTAATCATTCTAGTTTTTCTTTTTTTTTTCGATTATTTTGGTTAAAGAAGTGGCCCACTACAAAATGGGCCTAAAGAAAGGAACTCATTGAAAGGTTTGCATTTTAGAAGCTCTTGGAACCCCATCTTCTTCTGTGACCAATAAATTAAAAACAATTCATGGTTTCCTGTGTTCTATAACATGTACAGTTTTACGCCTATATATATATATATATATATATATATATATATATATATATATATATATATATATATATATATATATATATATATATATATATATATTAAGAAAATTATATTGATTTTAGTTATAATCTTTTGAAAATTAATTAAAGACTATTTATAACCTTTTGCAAATGGCAAACTTACAAACACACAAGGGGCTGATAGTTTGAATATTGAGACATAACAACTAAGATCTTTCTATTACTATATACATATATATATATATATATATATATATATATATATATATATATTTATTTATTTTGTCTTGCTTTTCTATTATTTATTAGAATTAAACATAGTCATAGCTTAATAAAATCATTGTGGTTTAATAGGTTTTTTTATATACAACATAATTAATAAGACCTATTTTCAAAAATTTAGTTACTGCAAGTATCAATTTTTATTCTAATATATATAACAATTTGTGTTAGAATCGCGCAGTGGAATGTTCGCGTGGTCGGACAAAAACCAAGAGGAGGGGTGAATTGGTTTCTTAATAAAAATTAGGTTTTCAAAATTTTCCCCAAATTTTACCGATTAAAAACTGCGTAAATGTAAATAGAGAAGAGTAGAGAAGATTACACAAGTAGGTTTATACTGGTTCGGATCAAAAGACCCTACGTCCAGATTGCTAATCACTCAAAAGAGGATTAACGCCGTCACTAAGAACAAATTGTTAAAACAGATTACAAATCAAAGAGATAAAGTAAAGAATACACCTCTCTTGAAATCCACAAGAGATGATCAACAGCTTTCCCTGGAGATGGCACAACACACAATCCACTAAGAACTCCACTTAGTGATTCTTATCGCTTCTAGCCTCACACCAGGTTTCCAAAAGCCCCGAAGAACAGCTTTCCCCAGAGACGGCACAACACACAATCCACTAAGAACTCCACTTAGTGATTCTTATCGCTTCTAGCCTCACACCAGGTTTCCGAAAGCCCCCTTTCCTTGCAACAAACAGTTCTCCGGCACTCACAAGCACTTAACTTTTGTATGGAAAGAGTTGTTCTTTTTTCTCGAGTGCCAAAGCGAGTTTAAGTAGGGAAATTAGGGTTTAGGAATTGGGGTTTTCGAAACTAGGGTTCTTGGTAATTGGGTTTTCGAAAATAGGGTTTGTTTGAAGTTTAAAATCAGAAACAGACTGGAATAATCGATTAAATGGAGTTTTAATCGATTAAAACAGAGCCAAATACGTCAGAACCCAAACCTCTCTGGTTTAATCGATTATTTGGTGAAATAATCGATTATCTGTACGGAATGGTACGAAATAATCGATTATTTTGCTTTTTAATCGATTAAAACAGTGACTTAGTATAGAAAGTGGTTTTCTCACTGTTTTAATCGATTATTTACCTATATAATCGATTAAAGCCGAAGCCTGCATGATAAATTTGAGCATTTTGAAGCTTCTAAGTTATAGACTATGTACCGGCTATCTTAGACTCTATAATTACGGACTCAATCAAACTAAAACAGAGTTATTACAATACAAAAATCATCAATCTTCAATCTTCAATACTCTAAGTCTTTAAGCTCTTGGATCATCATCAAAATCAACATTCTTCATGATCATTATTTGCAACATCAAGTCCTTGAATGTTCAACAATCTCCCCTTTTTGATGATGATCAAAATTATCTTTTAAAGCCCTTGTAATAACCTCGTTTTATCTCGTCATACTAACAAACACATTAAACATACCAGATAAAATTTAATATTGAATCATAGGCTTTAAATTTTTCTCCCCTATTTTGATTATAATCAAAAAGAACTCTGCAACATCAATCATAAGAGCTCCCCCTCAAAATATGCATAAGTTAGAGAAAGCTCCCCCTCAATCATAGCATGAAAGAAACATCATATTTTACAACATCAAGACAATAACAAAAGAAAATTCATCAATTATCTCTACATTAGACAACTTTAATCAATTATTTCCAGTAAATAATCGATTATTAGAGGCATTTAATCGATTATTTCACGAGATAATCGATTATTCCAGAGGAGAATACCCTGTTTTGGACGTTTTGAGGAAAAATAATTGATTATCACTTCCAGTAATCGATTATTCCAGAGGCTATATTAAGTTTTTAAGGTTTTTACACATTATAACCTATGAATATCCTGCATCACGAATTTAATCATAACAATCATCCAAAATCATTCAAATTAAGCAGAATTTAAGCTATTTCTAGTATCCCTAAGTCTCTTCGAAGATCATAGAATCTATCCTTGGGTAGAGGCTTAGTAAATATATCTGCTAATTGACGTTTAGTATCTACATACTCTATCTTACAGTTTCCTTTGCTGATATTATCTCTTAAAAAGTGATGTCTAATCTCAATATGTTTAGTCCTAGAGTGCATTACTGGATTTTTAGTTAAGTTGATTGCACTCGTATTATCACACATTAATGGAATGTCATTTAAATATATGCTATAATCCTCTAATTGTTGTTTCATCCACAGAATTTGAGCACAACAACTACCAGCTGCAATATATTCAGCTTCAGTGGTAGATAAAGCTACACATGCTTGTTTCTTAGAATGCCATGATATTAAGGATGAACCTAACAAATGACATGTCCCACTAGTGCTTTTCCTATCAATTTTACATCCACCATAATCAGCATCAGAATATCCTAATAAACTAATACAAGCATCAGACGGATACCACAAGCCAAATCCAGTAGTTCCTTTTAAGTATTTTAAAATATGTTTTACTGCAATTAAATGAGATTCTTTAGGACAAGCCTGAAATCTAGCACACACACAGACAGAATGCATAATATCAGGTCTACTAGCAGTTAAGTATAATAGTGATCCTATCATACCTCTATACATAGTTTGATTTACTTCCAAACCTGATTCATCCTTGTCTAAATAGCATGAAGTTCTCATGGGTGTGTTAGCTTCCTTTGAGGTGTCCATACCAAACTTTTTGAGGATCTCTTTGCAGTATTTAGTTTGAGAGATGAAAGTGTCATCTTTAAGTTGCTTGATTTGAAGTCCAAGGAAGAATGTTAATTCTCCCATCATAGACATTTCAAACTCTCCCTGCATAATCTTAGCAAATTCTACACATAACAAACTATCAGTTGATCCAATAATATATCAACAAGTAACACATCCTTGATCTCCAAAGTGTTTGCACCGCAGTTGCTTGATTGGTTGCTAAAGGATGTGTGAAAACTTATATTCAATGTGTGTTTAAAAAGTTCAAGCTAAACTGTTTTTATAGACTATTTTCAAAACTGCTGGTTTAATTAATCTGTTAAAAGATTCTTTTAATCTGTTAAAAGTGCAGTTTTAATCTGTTAAAACATCTTTTAATCGATTAAAACGCAGTGTAGAAAAAAATTTTAAGTTGTTTTAATCGATTGAAACGAGTTTTTAATCGATTAAAAGAGTTCTGATCGGTCATAACTAAATTCTGATCGATCATAACTGATTCTGACCGGTCATAATAAAAATCTGATCGATCATCCTGACCCTTTAAGTGATTTTAATCGATTGAAACGTGTTTTTAATCGATTGAAAAATTTCTGACCGCTCATAATTAAACTCTGATCGATCACATTTGCTTCTGATCGGTCATAATAAAAATCTGATCGATCATCCTGACCCTTTAAGTGATTTTAATCGATTGAAACGTGTTTTTAATCGATTTAAAGGATTCTGACCGCTCATAATAAAAATCTGATCGATCATAATGAGTTCTAAATGGTTTTAATCGATTAAAAACAAGTTGTATCGATTAAAATGTTGTAAAAACACTCCTTTGACCATTCTAAGTGATTTTATTTGGTTCTTTCAAAACTGCATCAGTTAAAAACATGTTTTAAGAAAGCTTTTGTAAAAATACTTTGTTTTAGGTTGTTTAAAACAATTTTAGAGGCTTTTCGCAAAAATCTTTAAGTGAAGAACCTTCATGCAATAGAAAAGATAAAATGTTTTTACCAATCATTCTGTTTAAAACATACTAAATGATTCATTTTCTTTGAATAAATAAAAGAGACAAACAACTCATTTAACTATAGGAACCCAAACATATTTTCCTTTAGGAACTCCAAAATGCTTAATTTTACATCTATTTGAAGTGTGACCTTGTTTCATACAATAGAAGCATGCATTTGAAGTAGTTTTAGAACAAGATACATTATTAACATGACATGCTCTAGTTCCTTTTTCTACCCATACTCTTTTCTTTTTAGTTTTACTCTTTTTCAAAGAAACTCTATGATTTACATTATTTTGAGCAAATACCATTTCATTCTTCTTAAGATCATCAATTTCTTTTTCGGCTTTGTCAAGCAAATGGTTAAGAATATCTATGTCATATTCATGCTCTTTACAAT